CCATCACACACACACACACACTACAAAGTTGAAGAGTCATAGTTTTACCCCTCTGCCACAATTCAAATTTCAGAGACAAGCGAAGTACCAAACTCATCATTTCCCATCACTAAAGCTCCTGCTTTTGTAAACCAGTCTTCGTGTTTCATATTGGTCTTTGAATCCTTCTTGTGTTTCCAATCTTTCCTTTCATTTGTCTGTCTATTAATTAATAGCGTTGTTCTGTTGTTCTTCTAATTCAAAATAAAATAAATGGAAAAGAAAAGACAAAGAAAAATTCTTCTTCTCCTCTTCTCTTCAAACCAGTTTGTGTGTTTATATATTTTCTTCTTGTGTTTCTTTCTTGTGTCTTTTTCCACATATTCTTCCTCTGATTTTTCATTTCTCTTTCTATTAAAAGAGTTTTTAATTTGTTTTTTTCCTTCTTTTGCAAAGAACAAATTTTAACCTCTATTAAATTATTGTTTTTCTACTCTCAAAACTATTGATTATTGTTATCATTATTCTTCTCCTTCTTGTTCAGAGAAAACAAAAAATACAAATAAAAAAAAATTGTGTTCAAACTTCCAGTATTACTTTGTATGTTTTTTGTCTTTATATTTAAATTTCTCATTTGATTTTTTTCTCTCTACCATCGTTGTTCTCACAGTTCCTTTTCTTACCCAAAAAAAAAAAACAGGAAAGGCAAAACAAAAAAAGCTTTTATATGGAAGGCATTGCAGCTTAAACGCATAGAATTCTCTGAGAGGTAAGAATTTGTGCCCCATGATGCTTATGAACTAAGTTTGCATCTTCTTTTTGTACACTCTCACATGTACGTATGCATGTATATTATATAAATATATATATATATTACATCTATGTGTGTATGTATGCGTCTATAAATATTGTCTCTTTAACGTTCTACAACTCCTTTTTATTTCTTAGATCTTGGTTGGCTGGTTACACGAAGCACAGTTGAAAATTTCATTCATGTTTCCAGGTTAGTATATTCATAATTTTCATATTAAGAATCATTTGAAACATATTCTTGTTATTGATTTTTCCGTCATAAACAACACAACCGTTTTAAGCTGAGTCTCGCTGTGCTTACATGTTTTATTGTGAGGATTACAATATATATATATATAGCATTAATTAGTAACATACTTATCTGGTCCTATTTATAGGACAAAGAGAGAAAAAAATTTTTGTTCTATTTATAGGACACTGAGAGATTTTTTTTTTTGAATGGATGTACAATTTCACCTTTTATTTATTATTATGTTTACTTTATTTACATGAGGTATAATGTATATTAACTATGAATGAAGTTGAAAAGTTGTTGAAGTTTAAATGAGAGTTAATGAAGTTTAACATTTTTCTTGGTTTGTGTGAAACATGTTAGAAATTATTTATAAATAGGACCAGAGAATTATTGTATTTGGGCTTTGACCTTCTAGATATTTTTATATTAAATCTCCTAAATATTTTCATTTTTATTCATCAAATTTTGGTTGGCTGCATAAAGCTTACTTGAAGATTTAAAATTTGGGTTGTCATTCTGGCCCCCAAAAGAAACCCCGAAAGAAAAAAAAAGAAAAGGAATAAAGAGAAGAAAATCATGAGATACCTATAGAACTTTTAGCCAAAATTACTATATGTTCCAGCCTTTGCGGAAAAGCTAGTAGACATTCTGCTGCGAGAAGTCATTTCACTCTAATTAAAAATGAGCTCATAGATTTTTGTTTATTTTTAAAGGTTGAGAATGAATGCATCAAAATATATGACTTGGTTTGGGAAGTGGCTTTGTTGATTGGGGAGATAACTTTTCAACAGGGCATAGGTTATAACTTAATAACCTTAAGGGAGTACATCAGATGTAAACCTTAGAACATAACTAACTTTTCACATTATTTTTGTGATAAAAAACTTGAGGTTCTTTAAGTTTGGATAAATAATGCAACCTCAGAAACCAATAGATACTATCTTTGAAGGGATCAAGAGCCTTAAAAATTTGGCTATAGTATGCTCATTAGATATTCTAATTTCAGCAGCATTCTTATTTCAATTTCCACTGTCACTAATAAATGCTTGAACTTTAGCCTTTAAAGGACTTGAGTAAAGAGATATATCTTCGACCTGACGTGGCTATCTTCTCCAAGTTGGTTGAACTGAAGCTCTTTTCCATGGATGGTAGGGAACTATGTCATGGTTCTTATCCTGGTGATTTTTTTAAGCAACAAAAGGAGCTGCAGTTATCCAATGACAAGATTTATGTGGATGTTCAATGACAAGCCTTTTTCATCCATCCACAGCACAGTGTCTAAAGCAATTAGAAGCATTGCAAATTAGAAGTTGTTTTGAGTTGAAATACATCGTAGTAGAGACCATGGATGATCATAATCCTAATCACAAGAATCATGACTCAATGTTCCCCAAATTGAAAGATCTCTTACTCACAGTTTGTCCTGAATTAGAATTTGTAATGCCAATACGTTTTTGTAAAGACCTTCCGCTACTGGAACGTATGCATATTTATTATTGTCGGAAGCTAAAATACATATTTGGGCAACAATATCCGAAGGAGACAGATTTAAATTTGGACCAAAAGGGAAAAGGAAACATCCTTCAATTGCTAGAAGAAGTGTGCATTTGGGGAGCACCAAATTTCATCAACATATATGCAGAATATGAAGTACAAAAGTCTTCTCCAATTACAAAAGTGGAAGTTGGCACTAGCAGCTTATCAAAGAATCTTTTGCATTGTTTTTGGCCAAAATCAAATGCCTCTACCAAACATCATCTTTCTGCTTCCATGACCACCCAACTGAATCATAAACAGGTAATACATGATGCAAATTACTCGCAAGTTATTTTTTTCAATTCATGAAAGAAGAACTCACATGTTTGCATGGAATACAGGCATTAAAGCTGAACTATGTTGTGAATAGAGCTCATGGACTTTTTACACCACCATTATACCCATTCACAAGTTTGAGAAGGATGGAGATATTTGGATTGTGTGGGTTAAAGTCACTGTTTACCCAATCTATTGTCTCATCATTGAAATTGCTGGAATTATTGCAAGTCAAAAATTGCAATACATTAAAGCACATAGTAACAAATGAAGAGCGTGGTCATGATCATGTGAATGTTAACCATATCTTCCCCAACTTACGGGAGCTTTATGCCTCATACTGTAGCCGCTTGGAACATATTCTCCCAGCTTTTTATTCGAAAAATAACATGAGCTTTCAAAATCTTTCCATGGTAACAATCCAAGGATGCAAACGATTGAAATTCATCTTCTGTGCATCTTCCTTAAGATGGTTGCAAAAACTGAAAAGGTTAGAGGTATTAGACTGTGAAGAGCTAGCGAGCATTATTGAGGATGAAGAGGATCAGAAAAATCCTATGCCTCCGCCTCAAGTATGTTTCCCAGAGCTATGTGGAATTATAGTGAAGCATTGCGAGAGTTTGAAATGCCTCTTCTCTAAATCAAGTGGTAAGCTTCCACGACTCTTGTATGTGAATATAGAAGATGTGCCTCAGCTTGGGCAAGTATTTGGATGGAAGCAAGAAGAGGGACAAAAGCCAGTCATGGGGGACGTTCTTCCGAAACTAGTTGCAATAAGACTAGTAAAAATGCTAACTCTTCGCGCTATCTGCCAAGAAACTGATTTTCAGAATGTGAAAATACGTCATGTGCGTGAATGTCCTAACATTTCTTCAACTTTAGCTAATGATAGCTATGATGCACGTAAGTATTCACATAGCCAATTCATTAAAACTGCCATAATTGTTTAAATTTGTTCTCATAATAATAGAAGTGTTCTATTTCGACAGTGCGTGGATTTTCAAGGCCATTTCAAATACACTCTCAAGATGAAGAAGAATACTATGCAGAAATTTCAAACTGGGCTTTTGAGGTTAGTATCAAACTTAATAAAATGGCCATCGGCTGAAAGAAGAAAAGCAAGGAGATGATAAACGATTATTTTTACACCAAGAGTAATGCCAAAGTGAAAAGGGTTCTAGTAGTAATGATTTTGCTTTTAGTCTATATGAGTCTGCAGGAGCCTTTGATCTTCTTCCAAAGGGTTAAAGAACATACCAGTGAATGTTCTGCCAAAGAAACATCAAACAAAATGCCACTTACGATTCCACCATTTGGTTTCTAATATAGTTGCACTATTGATATGTTATATTACTGGCTTTCATTCAGATTAATTTTTCTATTTCTATGCTCTCAGATCTCTTCTCCCAAAAAGCCTCAAATAGAAACTTCAGCTCCTCACAAGGAAGTCGAAGCCGGGAGCTCGCAATCAGACCCATTACTTGCTTTTGCCATTACTGATCAATCTGCAAAAGTAAGCCTTCATTTGATTGCATAAGTTTTGGGACATAATTTTATTCTTTAAGACTAGAATATACTAATGCCAGAATAGAGCAATTTGATAATCAAACAATACCCATATGTGTATTGAGTATACATTACTTTGCTTGTTCTTCTTCTACACGTCACAGCTAGAACATACAAAATTGGTTTCTTACTGAGGAGGTGAAATTAATGCTTCATTTCATTTGCTTTAGGGTCAAATTATGGTCAATCAAAGAGGGAGCTCCATTGATAATGATCTTAATAGATTATTACAAATAATGAAGGGTGGCTTTGAGTTGGAAGTTAGCCAGCCTTGCATTTCCAAAATTGCTGCTTTTGAAGATGATAAAGTGGCTAAGGCCTTTGATGATTTAGAATCCTCATTGAAAATGGATCTCAATCAGATAGCTAACTCTAAAGAACATACTCATCGCCTTGAGAATGCACTCAACTTCTTGTCCACCTATTTTTGTAAAGATGGAACTTCCTCTCACAGCCTTATTATTGGCAAAATAGACTCTCTTCGAGAAGAAATCCTAAAATTTATCTCATCCTTCAAGCAAGCTAATGATAAGCTTGACAGATTCACCAAGCTTCCAAAAAAGAGAAGTGGGTAGATGAAGAATATGCTCAAAAGATGGAGGTAGCTAATACTCTTGTGTCTGAAATCCGCAATACTGAGAATTGCATGATTGAACTGGAGGAACAGGTCTCTAGATTGCAGGCTGAATTGAAAAGCAACAAAGAAAAAGAATTAGAAGACTGTAAAATCAAACTGTCTTCTCTTCAAAAGCAAAAGAAGGAATGTGTTTTGGACATCATAAGGTTCATGGAAGAGTATGAGGTTGTGAAGAAAGACAAGTCCCATGTGGTGGATGGCCAAATAAAAGCAAGCCAAGAATTAAAAGAGTTGGAAAATCAATGGCCTTCTTGTTTGGCTGATTCGAGGAAAACTGCACTTTTGTTGGAAATCCTTCTTCAACAGTAGCTCTGATTGTTAGGCATTATTAATTCAGTAACCCAAAAATAGCATTAAAAATATAAATTTCTAGAGGGTAGCCAAATAATTTTTCAATGTATTGATCAGGTTGTCATATGTTCTGGTGTGGTTTGCTATCATTATGGGTGATTTTCGCTTGGTTCAAAGTATGGGTCAGGTTAGAAATTCATGAAGACTCGTTTTTGTGTACCCTGATTTTGTTCAAAGTGAAACTAGAATTTGGACCTGGTTAATGACCATATTTTTGTGCATTAAATGATTCAGAGCATAGGAGGCTAACTCTGTATGATATCTTGTGCACATAAAGAAAAAAAATGCAACTATGAAAAGTATGCAAAAGAGATGACTTTGAATGGAGAAAGAAAGTTTGGATATTAATATTTTCATTATTTACATTGATAAAAATCCTTGAGCAGAATTAATGGGAGATCAAACCATTAAGCAATGATCATTTGATAAGGGAAGCATCATACTCAAAATCGAATCATTAATTCATTATCCTCCGTTGGGTGGACATGCATAGGTATTGGCTTTTTAATTTCAATCTATCATAATCTTCAACGCCATGGGATTTGTGGTCTCATATAATGCTTAGTTTTCTTTCACACAAAATAGAGTAAATTGTTGAACTTTATAAAAATGGTTAATACAAATTCAAGTCCTCAAGTTTCAAATCTCAAGTTTCAAATGGTTAATACAAATATTAGTTCCTATAATCTAATAAAAACTTGACAATTTTACCCCTTTGAAGGACTAAAATCTATAGTTTGAAACTTGAAGAACCAAAATCAAAATGAGGACAAATTTAAGGGACCAAAGATTATATTAATCCTTATAAAAAAAGAAAACATATGTTTGTGTGGCTGCATACCGCTACTCATGATTGCTTTCAACAGTTCATTATCATACACACACATATTCAAGAACAGAATAGGCAGGTTTTTGCGATTTTAGCCTAAATAACTCCTAAATTTACAAGAGGTTCTCTGCCACCAATAGATTCTGTTCTGTTTCTGTCAATTTCAACCCTGAAGTCTTGAACCATTTCGCATCCACAAAACTCAAACGCTTCCCTTGTTGTTGCATATTGACTTTAATTTTGAGGAAGCTATTATTCTGTCAAGTTTACTTCTTGATTTGGAGCCAAGTGTCCTCTGCCACCAAGAGAACTAAACCATTCAAGCTTGGCAAAGAAATTTAGGCTTTGGGAGACTTACTAGTTACATTTGGCTTTGTTATAAATCATAACAAATGAGTAACAGAAAGAAATATTCGTGATATAGCTCTCACGATATTACTTTCACAATGTAACTATATATTTAAGGCTGTGTGCTACACTTTTAAATATCAATGGACAGCTTCGAGTATCATCAGCTAGCGTAAATCTAACAACAATGTATGATTGTGCAGTTACATTTTGATTAAGAGTCTTATTAAAGAGAAGAAAGTTAAATATATAAAGCCATTGAATAAAAATGAGGTTGCCTAAAATGTTGTATCAGTCTGCAATGAATTTGAAATTTTGGTCAAAGAAACAAAAGAAAAGAGGAAGTTAACTTGATTTTTTTTTTTTTACTGTTAAGTTGAAATCCTCTGGAATTCTAACCTTACGTATCACTGTACTTTGATCATGTAGGATAACTTTGAAAGCTCTTCCCCTTTGTCCCCTTCAATTTCCTCATACTTAAAAACAAGAAAATCAAAACATCATGTTACCAATAGAAACTATGATCTCATTTGAGGATGCTGAGTTCCAGGGGAGGCAAATATCAAGTGTTTGAATAATACTAATAATATTTTGCCAAAGACCCTTGGATCTAGTGCCTCACCGTATCAAACTTGTACTGTGTCTGAGTGTGTTTGTACGTTAATATAACGTGTGTTTCATTTGAATTTTTGACCCCTATAAAAATAAAATACTAATAATATTTTTGTATTTCTCAGCCTACTCGGTTTGATCCGGATCCGGCTTCTCTCCTTTACCTTTTTCCATCGGCTGCCCTCCTCTGCCTCAAACTAGACCGTCTTGGTGTAGAAATGGCGGGCGGCACCTCTTTTTTTTTTTTTAAATAAATATCTAACACCTAAAAATATTTTTCTAATACTACTTATTATCTTGAAATATTTTTTCAGTACTATCTATTCTAATATAATTTTTGGTCCAATAAAAACCCTAAAATATATTTTCTGTAACATCCAGTATCTAACTTCCAACACACTGAAGTATTTTCAGTAGCACTTAGTATCCTAAAATATTTTTTCAGTACCACCCAATATTTTAAAATAACTTTTGACCTAGTCAGAGCTCTAAAATATTTTTTTTTGTGACACCCAATATCTAACTCCAACATACTGAAGTATTTTTTTTAGTAGCACCCAATGTTTTAAATTAATTTTTAGTACATCCAGTATGCTAAAATATTTTTTAAGTGCACTTAATTTCTTGAAATAATTTTTTTTGGAATATTTTAGGTATTGAATGGACTAAAAATTAGTTCTAAATACTTGGTGCTACTGAGAAAATATTTTAATGTGTTAGAAGCTAGATATTGGGTGTTAAAAAAATATTTTAGGGCTCTGACTAGACCAAAAATTATTTTAGTATACTGGGTGGCAATAGAAAACACTTCAATTTGCTGGAAGCTAGATACTGGGTGTTACAAAAAAAATATTTTAGGACTCTGATTGGACCAAAAATTATATTAGAATAGAAAGTACTGAAAAATTATTTCAACATAATAAATGGTACAAGAAAAATACTTCAAAGTGCTAGATACTTATTTTAATAAAAAAAAAGTGCCACCCCACCATTTCTACACCAAAACAGTGTAGTTTGAGGCAGAGCAGGGTAGCGGATGGGAAGGGATAAAAGGGAGAAGCCGGGTGCGTTTGATCCTACTTGTAACTTCTGGCTATTTGTGCCTGTACTATTAATTCTAAGTCCATAAATTATGAGAACATTTAATGAGGGAGCAATATTCAAAAACTGATATAGCAATCCATGTCTGAAAACATATAATAGTCCTCTACAATTTAGACCAGAGTTACAATTGGAATTATGAGAAATAACAGAGTTCGTGGGGAAAGAATAAGATTAGAATCATGGGTCCAATCCAATAAGATTAAGGAGAACATTATAAACATTTTTGGAAAGAATACACTAATATTTATTGGAATAATTACGTTACTCTTTAACATTGTACATGATATTGGCTCCAGTGAGCCTTGTCTCATGGATACATAGTTTAAACTCATGAGTGGCTTTTTTATTCCCTATTGAAAGCATTATTTCTCTATTACCAAAAAAAAAAAGGCATTATTTCTACTTTAAGAACTAATTTAAGAATCTTCCTAGACGAGATTCTTGATCTTCATTATAGAAACGTTTTCAATTTTTTTTTCAAGCATTTCTTTTCATAAATATCTTGTGTTGGTTCCCCTTCATACTGAGTGCCTATTTGATTAAACGGTAAGAATTCAAATAAGTCCATTTGAATCTAAATAAGTGATCATAAAACATGTTTATCCTGTTTGACTAATTTTTCTGAAATCCTGATAAATCGTGATTTCACTCTTCCACCACACTTTTAAAATAAGTACCAAGGAGTAGCTTATGCGTTTGAAGAATTTCAATCAATTTTTATCACCTAAATTTTTTCCAATATATCATCCTATACTCTTATGAAAATCTCTCCCTAAGTGATTATATTTAATAATATTTATTAAATTTATGCCTTTTTGGTAATTATACATCTATAAATAATTTTAATAAATGAAAATTAAACATAATCACAATCCTCCCTTAAAGTTACTTTTAAAAAAAAATCCAAACAAAAATTAGCAGGTCACTTATAAAATTCATGATAATATAAAATCATAGGTGTTTACTTATAAAATCCAAACAAAAGCATTTTTTCACAAATCAAGATAAACTTCTTCATATATTTACTTCGAATACCGTAAAATTACTTTTAAAATCATGATTTTGTTTCTATTAAAACACTCCCTAAATGAGCAAAACAATTCAAGGCCCTTTGAATGGAACAGTTTCATGATAAGAATTTAATCATGTGGGAATGCATTTTTATTGTATTTTATCATGCTTGGGATCATAACCGTCTTAAAAAAAAAAAATTCAAGAGCGTGAGATGAAAATGCTGTCTCTTGAAGAACAGAAAGAAGAAGAGTGCTTTTGAGACAATGTGGTTGATAAGAGAGTTTGAGGCAGCGAAGAAAGAAATGTCTCATATGGTCGGAAAAAATATAAAAGCAAAGCAGCAACTACTACCTCCGGTCCTTATTATAAGACCCCATTTGACTTTTTGTTTGGTCCTAATTATAAGACCCCAATCCATTTTATCTCTCATATTTATGCATTTTTTTCCAAGATACTCCTTCTAATAATGATAGTTATAGCCAATATACTTAATTAGCAAGGATATTTTAGGAATGACAACATTTATTTATTACAAATAACTAACTTAACTTACTTCCTTAATCTCCTCAAATAAGTCAACTAGGTCTTATAATTAGGACCAGAGGTAGTATAAAATATGGATGTTAAGCGTTCTTCTTGTCTATCCAGTCTGAAGAAAACCACACTTCTTGTCTATCTAATTTAAACGTTTAAATTACTTTATACACATTATTTTAACTTAATTTTTTTTAAAATAAAAATTATGTTTACTGTATTATATAATATTTGTGCAATTTTTTTTCCTCGAATACATTTTTTTTTAAGATGCCAGATGGAATGGCAAATGTGGTATACCATTGGTCACTAAGGCAAAATTGTTCAATATATTGATTTATACGGAAGTTTTACAAGCTTAATAGTCGTGTATAAGCTCAAGTTTTGAAAGTGCTATGCAAAAGTTAGAGCTTATTTTTCATTCATGAAGTTCAGATATATTTCCCTAAGGATTATTTCACTCATAGTCAGTGAGTTCATAGAGGGATTCAAATGACAAGGTGAGGTATGAAGTAGAATAGGACAATAACCCAAGCAAGAACGCCCCAATAAAAGTAATTCATGTTTATGAATTGGAGCACAAAATTGAGACATTTTCTGCCATTGATCTCGTGATTTAGTAATGTGAATGCTAGGTGGGCAATTGTGAATTTAAGAAATGATTTTTTTTCGGTATTCATCTTCAA